TTCGGGCATTTCAGAGACCCCGCAACTTCGCCAGTCTTCCCAAGACTGCAGGCATCCTTGGGTGTGCCCTGTGGGTGTTCCTCCCTGGGGCTGCGGCCAGATCTCTGCCGGAAGACAGAGAGGGAACAGTGCTTCCCCTGGTACAGTGGGAAGGCAGAGGGGAGGGACAACAAGGGACAGTCCCAGACTGGGTGGGAAAACAGGCAGGCCCTGCAGCCTGAGTCTTGGTGAGGATTTCATTCTTCCTTTAAAAATATTTATATCCCAGACACCTGCTCCATTTAACCACTGTTTTTAAAATTTATTTTTATATTATTTGAAAGGCAGAGATGGAAAGAGACATGAAGGTCTTCCATCTGTCGGTGTACTCCCCAGATGCGTGCATTAGCCAGGGCTGGGCCAGGCGGAAGCCAGGATCTCAGAGCTCAATCTGAGTTTTCTACAGGGTCGGCAGGAACCTGACTACTCGAGCCATCGTCTGCTACCTCCCAGGGTGTGCACCAGCAGGAAGCTGGTCCGAAGCAGAGGGCCGGGACTCCAGCTGGGCACTCTGATGCGAAATGCACACGTCTCAAGCCGCGTCTTTACTGCCGTCCCAAATGCCTGCCCCTCATAATTTATTTCTAGGAAACAAGAGGATCTCCTGCCGTGGTCCCCAGAATTTTGGCCTTCTCATCCTCCAGCCCTGTCCAGACTGAAGTGTGCAGAGGGTGCGTGGACTTGCTACCCAGTGACGGCACCAGGGACTGCCACTCTGCTTCCTGGACCCTCCTCCCAGTCGCCTTGCTCTGTGTTCTGCCTGCTTGCCCTGGCTAGAGTGTAAACTTTTTTTAGTAATTTCGTCAATTCTTCCACAATGTGATTTTTAAAAATATTTTATTTATTTATTTCAGAGGCAGAGTTAGAGAAGGAGAGGCAGAGAGAGAGAGAGAGAGAGAGAGGGGTCTTCCATCTGCTAGTTCACTCCCCAATTGACCACAATGGCCAGAGCTGCGCTGATCCAAAGCCAGGAGCCAGGAGCCTCTTCCTGGTCTCCCACATGGGTGCAAGGCCCAAGCGCTTGGGCCATCTTCTACTGCTTTCCCAGGCCACAGCAGAGAGCTGGACCGGAAGTGGAACAGCCGGGACTAGAACCGGCGCCCATATGGGATGCTGGTGCCATAAGCAGAAGCTTAGCCCACTGCACCACAGCACTGGCCCCCTACAATGTGATTTTAATGATTTATTTATTTATTTGAAAGGCAGAATTACACACACACACACACATACATGCACACGGGGGAGGGGGAGAGAGAGAGAGAGGGGTAGGGAGAGAGAGAATCTTCCATCTGCTGGTTCACTACCCAAATGGCCACAGTAGCCAGGAGCGGGCCAGACTGAAGCAGGAGGCAGGAACTCCATTCTGGTCTCCCATGTGGGTGGCAGGGGCCCAAGCACTTGAACTGTTATCATCTGCTGCCTTCCCAGGTGCGTGAGCAGGGCAGTGGGGTCTTGAATACTGCGTGCAGGCATTGCAAGCAGCCACTCCACCTGCTGTGCTGCCCCAGAGTGTCAGCCCTTTTTTTCTTTTAAAGATTTAGTTATTTAGCCGGCGCTGCGGTTCAATAGGCTAATCCTCCGCCTTGCGGTGCCGGCACACCGGGTTCTAATCCCGGTTGGGGCACTGGATTCTGTCCCGGTTGCTCCTCTTCCAGTCCAGCTCTCTGCTGTGGCCTGGGAGTGCAGTGGAGGATGGCCCAAGTGCTTGGGCCCTGCACCCGCATGGGAGACCAGGAGAAGTACCTGGCTCCTGGCTTCGGATCAGCGTGATGCGCTGGCCGCAGCAGCCATTGGAGGGTGAACCAACGGCAAAGGAAGACGTTTCTCTCTGTCTCTCTCTCTCACTGTCCACTCTGCCTGTCAAAAAAAAAAAAAAAAAAAGATTTAGTTATTTATTTGAAAGGCAGAGTAGGGATGGTGCTGTGGCACAGTGGGTTAATGCCCTGGCCTGAAGCGTTGGCATCCCATATAGGTGCCGGTTTGAGACCCAGCTGCTCCACTTCCCATCCAGCTCTCTGCTATCGCCTGGGAAAGCAGTAGAAGATGGCCCAAGTCCTTGGACCCCTGAACCCACATGGGAGACCTAGAAGAAACTCCTGGATCCTGGCTTTGGATCGGCATATCTCCGGCCATTGTGGCCAACTGGAGAGTGAGCCAGAGGGTGGAATACCTCTCTCTCTCTCTCTGCCTCTCCTCTCTATGTAACTCTGTCTTTCAAATAAATAAAAAGAAGACAGAAAGGCAGAGAGAGAGGTCTTTCATCCACTGGTTCACTCCCCAGTTGGCTGCAATGGCAAGAGCTGTGCTGATCCGAAGCCAGGAGCCAGGAGCTTCCTCGGGGTCTCCCAAATGGGTGCAGGGGCTCAAGGATTTGGGCCATCTTCTACTGCTTTCCCAGGCCATAGCAGAGAGCTGGATGGGAAGTGGAACAGCTGGGTCTCGAATTGGTGCCTGTGGGGATACTGGCACTGCAGGTGGTGGCTTTACCTGCTATACCACAGCACTGGCCCCCTTTTGACAGTAGAATTTACAGCTCAAAGCAGTGCATTTTTATCTCAGACCATGCTCTCAGTTGAGTAGCCCAGCTTTAGACGCAATACCATCCGAAGTCACCTTGCGGCACCTGGGGTGAGCCGCAGTGGGATGCGTTTCCCATCAGGAGGTTCTTGGGCACTGGCAAAGGATGATGGGCCATGGGGTCCCAGCAAGACACCGGGCTGACCCTTGGAACTGTTTGCTAAAAGTGCTTCTGGCTCTGCTGGGACAGTGTCCTTGGAAGCCTGCCATCCGGGTGGAAAGGTGCAGCTTTATAGATCCGCATGGCTTTTTAGAACATGGCAGGAAACCAGGCGATCCCAGGCCCAGCAGCCATCAGCCACACAATGCAGTCCTGGCATTGTGCGAGTTGGGGCGGGGCTGGGGTGGGGTGGAGGAGGTTGCATTTCTTATTGAGCTGGGGTGGGATTGGTTACCTAGACAGACCTGTCCACCTCCCCCCACCTGTCAGGCTGGAGTTGGAGATTTAGAAATAGAGGGCTGTCTCCTGGGGATCAGAGCGCGAGGCGTGGCAGGAGCTGGGACCCACAACCCGGAGCAGTGTGAAGTTGAGAAGATCTATGCTAACTTGCCTTGTCCAACAGGGGCTGCTAGGAGGGGTGAAACGGTATGGTGTGTAGGTGCTGGGGTGCGCGGCAGTGTTGGGTCTAGTCCTCACAGGGCTTATATACTGTTAGCAGTCCCGTTTCACTGATGGGGAAACTGAGGATGGAGAGGTTAAGTGACTGTTCTTGCGTCAGGGCTGGAAGGTGACCGGCAGTCCTACAAACTGGGCAATCATGATAGCCACAAACTGGGGCACCTGTGACCCATCTGTTTGCAGCCAGGTAGGGCAAATGGAAGCCAGAGAGGGGCCAGGCCAAGGGCAGACAGCTGGTGGAGCCCCAAGACTCTGGTGCACAGGCCCTGGACTCCAGCGAGGCAGGGAGACACCTGAGGGGCAGAATTTAAGGAGGCACTCACTCTTAGGTGCCAGCCCCACACTTGTACAAGCCTGGGAGTGGCGCCTCCTTAAATTTTGCATCTTAAGTTCCTCACCCCAGTGCCAACCAGGCCCAGGATTCTGATTTTGTGAAGTGAGCAAGAGGCCCCAGCCTAGCTTTAGTCACTGGAGTTGATATCCGGAGGCGAGGAGAGGAGGAGTTTTGCCAGTGCCCGGGGAAGGGGCTGGCAGCCCGGTGGGGCCCAGGACGACCCTACAGCTCTTCCCTGGACCGTGCGGGGCTGAAATGGGGTTGCGCCAGGACAGGCTCGCGGGCAAGGGGCCAGGGGTGTGTCCACCGCCGGCGGCCTGCCTCAGAGCGGCTCACACGCGGCTCCCGCAGCCCCGGCCCCTCCGCCGCGCTGTTCGCAGAATCCCTTTTCGGAAAGGTGTGCAGCCACCTTGGCCCCAGCCTGGGCCTCCCCGCGCCTGCTTCAGATCAGGCAGCACAGGGAACCCGTGGACGTCGCTGCCACTCCCACCCCAGGAGCGGACAGAGCGGGCACGGGGGTCCCGGAGCCAGGCCTGCCTCCGCCAGACTCGGCCGCCCCGAGGCCGTGGCAGCAGCCGCAGCGGGAGGGTCCCTCCAGAGGTCTGGGGGCTGGAGCGCAGGGGCAGCAGCGAGGCCGGCGGGGCAGTCCCGGCCTCTCGGAGGTGGTCGAGGTCGGGAGAGTTCCGGGTCCTCGCGGAGCCTCAGTTTCCCCGTTCTTCAGCGCAGCCGGCGGGGTCCCGGGACCCCACTTTCTGAGCGCTGTGCTTCGCTCCCCTCGCCGCTACCCAGCCCCGGACGTTTCTAGAGCCCCGCTAGTGAGTTCCAGACTCCAACCCTGGCCGGTTCCGGGCACGGCCTGGGGGGGCGCCTCTGGCCCCCTAGGCCACCCGGAGCTGGGGGAGAGGAGGCGCGCAGGCCGCCCCGATCGGCTGGGAGGGACAGGAGGAGTAGGGACGCCAGAGGTTAAAAGGAGGAGAAAATAGGACGACCGGGAAAAGAGGGGTGGCGAGGAACCAGCAAAAGAACGGAAAAGATGGGGCGGGGGGCGAAGGGGCGGTGAGGGGGGAAGCTGGGAGCGGCCGGATCCCGGGGAAGGAATCCAGAGGCGAGCTGGGCAGCGGCTGGAAGAGAGGGAAGAGCGCGCGCGGCGAGCAGGCAGGGTCTAGGAGAGGGAGAGAGGGAGGGAGAACGAGCGAGCGAGCGAGCGAGCGAGCGAGGGAGGGGGAGCCGCG